CCACACGTCCCCCCCACCCAGCCACACATCCCCCCACAGCCACACGTCCCCCCCCAGTAGCGTAGCTAGCGGGGTGCAGGGGAAGCAGCCGCTTCCCCCGCCTTTCCAAAAGCAGCCGGAGAAGCGGGGAGGGGGGGGGGGGCGGCATGCAGCCTGCAGCCGCAGCCGGAGGAGCAGGGGCGGGCCACGGGGGTGGCACGGCAGGGCCGGAGGAGCCATGGGGGGGAGGGGCGGTGCGGCCGGAGGAGGAGCCAAGGGGGGGCGCCTTTTTTATGTTTGCTCCCCCTCCTCTTAGAAGCTGGCTAAGCCACTGGTCCCCCCCACCCACACGTCCCCCACAGCCACACGTCCCCCCCCGCCGAGCCACACTGCCCCCCATGGACACACATCCCCCCCACCCAGCCACACCACTGCCCCCCAAAGCCACACGTCCCCCCCACCCAGCCCCTCACAGTCCCATAGCCCGCCACAGCCACACATGCCCCCCCACCCAGCCACACGTCCCCCCAACCCAGCCACACCGCCCACCCTGAGCCCTACACTCCCCCCACGGGATCCCCCCTCCCCCATCAGGTACCTGCAGCCCGGCTAATGCTAATGCTGCCCGGTTTGGGCTTGAGGGGGGGTCGGGGGAGCCGGTCCCGGTCGGGGGGGCCCCGGCGCCCCACCCGGCTCAGCCGTGCCTCTGGCAACTTGGTGATGAATTTCTTCTCCACGTATTTGGCCCGGATCCAGCTCTCCTTCTCCGCCCTGTTGGGGGAGCCCAGGGAGGGGGTGAGATGGGGCAGCCGCCCCTGGTCGGGGGGGGGCACACAGCCTTGTGCGGGGGGGTTGTGGACGTGGGGGGGTCTCACCATGAGCAGCCAGGCTAGGGGAGGGGTCAGGGGGGCGCTGGGGAGGGAGGCGGGTGAGGGCAGGGCCAGGGGGCCTCACTGGGAGCTGCCGAGCTGGGGGAGGGGCACGGGGGAGGGGCTGGAGGGTTCAGGGGGGTGCTGGGGCGAGGGCCGGGGGGGGCCTCACCGGGAGCAGCCGGGTTGGGGTCTCTTGACGGTCATCTCGTCCACACGCGCCTCGTAGATGCGGTTCAGGGCTCCGTTCCCCAGTTCGCACATCAGCTGGGGGGGGTGGGAAGGGACACATGGGGGGCCAGTCATAATCCAGATGTTGACGCCTCCCTCCCCCCCAGCCCTGACCCCCCATTCACGGGGGGCCCCGGCCCAGCGACCGGACCCCGTGACCCACCAATGTGCAGGGGTCGACGACTCCCTAGGTAAATAGCCCCCTCCCCTGCCCCCCCCTTAAACCCACACCCCACGGCCCCTCTTGAGTGATTCCCTCCCCCCATCGCTACCTTGACGAGCTCCGGCTCCCAGGAGTCGAGCGTCAGGGAGCGAACCTTGGAGAAATGGACCCCCAGGCTCCTGCGACAGAGAACGGGGGGGTGGGGTCAGCCAGGGGGGCTCAGAGGGGACCCCCCTGGCTGCCCTCCAATGCCCATGGGCACCGGAGCTCTTGATGGCCAGGCTGGGGGGGGGAGGGGGAGATCAGGGGGCGGGGGTGGGGGCGCGGTACCGGTGGATGCAGGGGGAGAGGGGCAGGGGGAGATCGGGGGTAGTGGGGGGATGGGGGTGCAGTGAAGGGCCAAGGGGGTCTCAGGGGGCCAGGAGTGCTATGGGCGGGCAGGGGGGTACCGGGGGGTACAGGGGGGGTTTAGGGGGTACCAGTGAATGCTGGAGCACTCGATGCACAGCGTGATGCCCAGGCGGGGGGAGCAGGGGGAGATTGGGGTTCGGGAGGGCAGTGGGGGGCTCAGGGGGGTACCGGTGGATGCCGGAGCACTCGATGCACAGCGTGATGCCCAGGTTGATGCTGGCCCACTCGGGCGCGGGCTCCCGGCAGTCACAGCACTGTGCGTTCCCCTCCAGCCGCTGCACCTGGTCCAGCACCCGCTTGTCCCCGCCCGCCCGCGGGCTCCGGCCCGACGCCTCCAGGGTGCCAGCCACCAGCGAGGCTGGGCGCTCCGGGTGCTGGGGGGGGGGCGGCAGGGTTAGGGGGCTGCTTGGGCCATTCGCTCTCCACCCGCAGCCCCCCCTTCCCCCACGGTGCACCCCCTTCCCACAGCCCCCTGTTCCTTCCCCCACAGCGCCCCCCGTTCTCCCACGGTGCCGCCCGCTCCGCACCCACAGCCCCCTGTTCCCCCATGGTGACCCCCTACCCCCACAGCACCCCCCTTCACCCATGGCACCCCCCACTCCCCACCCGCAGTCCCCCCCAGACCAGATAAGGGATCTCCAGCTGCCTCTGGTTGAAGGCGGAGGCCATGGCGGGAGTGGGAGGGTCCCCGTGGGGGTCCATACCAGGCTGGGGGGCTCGGCCCCCCCTGGCTGGAGGCAGAGAGGATGGGGGTCTCCGGGGGGTCCATACCAGGCCGGGGGGCTCAACCCGCCCCTGGCTGGAGGCGGAGAGGATGGGGGGTCCCCGGGGGGGTCTGTACCTGGCCGGGGGGCTCAACCCGCCCCTGGCTGGAGGCGGAGGGGATCGGGGGGTCCCTGGGGGGTCCGTACCTGGCCGGGGGGCTCGGCCCGCCCCTGGCTGGAAGCGGAGGGGATCGGGGGGTCCCGGGGGGGTCCGTACCTGGCCGGGGGGCTCGGCCCGCCCCTGGCTGGAAGCGGAGGGGATCGGGGGGTCCCTGGGGGGTCCGTACCTGGCCGGGGGGCTCGGCCCGCCCCTGGCTGGAAGCGGAGGGGATCGGGGGGTCCCGGGGGGGTCCGTACCTGGCCGGGGGGCTCGGCCCGCCCCTCGCTGAAGGCCGAGGCGATGCTGTTCTGCACGGCCGTCAGCCAGGCCTGCTGGTGTCTGTCCGAGTCGGCCTGCAGCAGGCAGCTCCTGGGGGAGGGAAACACGGGGCGTTGGGGGGGCTCCATGAGGCCCCCTCCCCCCAGCCAGAGGGAGGGCGGGAGGCCCGGCTTGAGCAGGGGGAGAGGAAGCGGGTGATGGGGGGGGGCTGGGGAGGAGCAGCGGGGGAGGGGCAGGGGCTTGGCACTGATGTGGGGGGCACAGGGGGGCCGCGGGAGGGGCAGGACTCACTTGGAGGGGGACACGACTTCGAAGCAGAAGCGCCGCTCGTGGTCGGGGCAGGGTTTGACGGTGCAGAGCCGCAGATCTTCCACCACCACCGTCAGCGCGTCCTGGGGGGGGGCAGAGAGATGGCACCCCATAGCCCCCCAAAACCTTGCCTCCGGGAGGGCAGAGAGCAAAGCCCCCCCTCAACACCCCCAAGAACCCTGAGACCAGCCCCCTCCCCACTACAGAGAGATAGTACCCCAAACTAACCCCTGGCCGGGCCCCATCCCCCCCACTCCTGGGGGGCCCCCCAAGCCCACCCCCAAAGGCCCTCACTCACCTTGGCCCGTTTCTGATACACCAGCTGATTGCTCTGGATGGAGAACCAGCGCCTGGCGGAGAGCGGGGGGGCTGTCAGTGGGGGGAAAGGGGTTCGGGGCACACAGCCCCCCATCGGGGGGAGGAGTGCCATAAGGGGGAGGGGAAGGAGGTGGGTTTGGGGGTGCACATGTGGGTCTCCGGGCCCCCCGGACAGATGCGGATGCTCATGGGGGACAGGGGAATTGGGGGGGCGTGGGGGGAACTGGGGGGACAAAGGGAGGGTCTCTGACCTGCTCCATGTCTTGAAGGCATTGCTGGCTCGCTTGTAGAGGTACCCCTCCATCACCACCCCGTCCGGCGCCTCCCCGCGCCCCTCCAGCACCGCCTCGTCCTGGGACAGGTCCTGGCGGGGGGCAGGGCCGTCACGGGGGGGGGGCATGGCCCCGCCCGCCCCCCTCCACAGCCCTGCCCTGCCCTGCCCTGCCCTGCCCTCGCCCCGGGGCTCCGCCCCCAGCCACAGCCCCGCCTCCACCCCCAGGGTCCCGCCCCCGCTCTCCCAGCTGCAGCCCCGCCCCCACTGCACCAAGCCCCGCCCCCACCCCCAGGGTCCCGCCTTCCCAGGGCCCCATGCCCCAGGCCCTCCCTGAAGCAGAACTGCCCATACACCACCAGCCCCAGCCAGTCTCCCCCTCCCATGACCCCGCCCCCACCCCGCTAGCCCCGCCTCCACCCCACCAGCCGCAGCCCCGCCCCCAGCCCGCCAGCCCCGCCTCCAACCCATCAGCCTCAGCCCCACCTCCACCCCACCGAGCCCCGCCTCCACCCCGCCAGCCACCGCCTTGCTCCCCTACCCCAGCATCGCCCCCACCCACCCCAGACCTCGCCTCATCAGCCGCTGCCCCCCTCGCCCCATAGCCAGCCCTGCTCCCCGCCCACAACCCCCCAGGGCTCACCTCCCCCATACCTAGCCCCCACCCCAGTATATTCCCCCAGCCACGCCCTCTTTGGCCCAGGCCCCACCCCTCCATACGTTAGCCACACACCCTGCCCATAGGCTCCTCCCACTGCACCCCGTAGCTGTCTCTCCCCAGAAGGCCCCGCCCATACCCACCCACCAGAGGCCCTCTCCCGTGACACCTGCCCCCAGCTCCCCCCCCACCTTCTGTTTGATCATGGCGTGTCTCTGCTCCATGTCCCGCTTCTCCCGCGCCGACTCCAGGACCAGCTGGTGCAGCTGCGGGGGGCAAAGGACGGCGGGTGAACACCCCAGATACCCCCCGCCCCGGCCATGCACGGGGCTGGGAGACCGGACGCCTGGATTCTCTGCCTGGCTCTGGGAGGGGCGCAAGGACTGGTGGGTCAGAGCGGTGGGGCTGGGAGCCAGGACTCCTGGGTTCTCTCCCTGGCTCTGGGAGGAGATTGGGGGCTGGTGGGTTAGAGCAGGGGGGCTGGGAGCCAGGACTCCTGAGTTCTCTCCCCGGCTCTGGGAGGGGAGTGGGGGCTGGTGGGTTAGAGCGGGGGGGCTGGGAGCCAGGACTCCTGGGTTCTCTCCCCGGCTCTGGGAGGGGAGTGGGGGCTGGTGGGTTAGAGCAGGGGGGGCTGGGAGCCTGGACGCCTGGGTTCTCTCTCCAGCTCTGGGAGGGGAGTGGAGGCTGGTGGGTTAGAGCAGGAGGGGCCGGGAGCCAGGACTCCTGGGTTCTCGCCCCACAGCTTCTGCGCCTGGCATTTGAGCTCTGTTGATTTTTCCACACACGCCCACACCCCCCTTAACATCTGGGCTGGGAGGGGACCAAGCCTGCATCCCCCAACCACCACCGCCCGAGCAGGAACCCCCCCAAGTCGGAGGGGGGGGGGGTCAGAGGTCACAGAGCAGGAAACCTGAAGTGAAAACAGGAAGCTGCCGAGCGAGTGTCAAACTTGGCAGCTGCTGTAGTTGGTTATGGGGGGGGGGGGTGTGAAATCTCCCAGGTGAACACCTCCCCCCCACAGCTGCTAGATCCAGGGGGGTCTGATCCCCCATAGGCCCCATTACATGCCCACCATGCAGCCTATGACCTCCCACCAACAGCCCACCCCCCGACACTGTATCCGCCCCCCCACTAACCCACCAGCCCACTCTCCCCTCCCAGAGCCAGGGAGAGAACCCAGGAGTCCTGGCTCCCAGCCCCTCTGCTCTAACCACCAGCCCCCACTCCCCTCCCAGAGCCGGGGAGAGAACTCAGGAGTCCTGGCTCCCAGCCCCCCTGCTCTAACCCACCAGCCCCCAATCTCCTCCCAGAGCCGGGGAGAGAACCCAGGAGTCCCGCACCCACCTGGCCGAGGTGGGCCTGGAGGCCGTGGACGCAGGCTCCCCGGGGCGGGGGCCTGTTCTCTGGGCAGAGGAGCCCCCGGGCCCCGCGCCGCCGGCTGGGATGTGAGCACCGGCATCCTGTCTGCTGCATGGCCCCCGGTGGGAAGTCACCACCCCCCCTTGGCCCCGCCCTCCCTGGCCCCCTCCGGCCCTGCCCCCGCCCCCCCCGTATCCCTCTGCCCCCCCCACACCCCGGTCCCCCCTGCCCAGGTCCCCCCACCTGGGCGGCCAGTTCCCGGCGATATTTCTCCAGCTGCTGCGTCAGCCGGTGCCCCTGCTCCAGGCAGCAGGCCTGGGCCTCCATCAGCGCCAGCATCTGGGGGGCAGACGGGGGGGTCACAGCCTGGCAACGCACTGCCCCCCCGTTCCCCATCCCACAGCCCCCTGTCCTGCCCCCTCAGTCCCCCATCGCACAGCCCCCCTTCCTGCCCCTCCGCACTGCCCCCCATTCTGAACCCCCCACCCCACAGCCCCCCCGTACTGCCCCCTGTTCCCTATCCCACAGCCCCACTTCCTGCCCCTTCGCACTGCCCCCACGAACCCCCATCCCACAGCCCCCCCGAGCCATCCCCCAGCCCCTCTTCCTGCCCCCCAGCCCCCATCCCAAAGCCCCCCATCCTGCCCCTTCGCACTGTCCCCACGAACCCCCACCCCACAGCCCCCCTTCCTGCCCCTCCGCACTGC